TTAAGTGTAATTATTAATAGATGGCAACACGTATCGTACCTCTTGGACAGGCCATAATCTTTATATGTACTAGTCGGCCATGGTAGAAATTGCTCTTTTTTTAATTGTTTTTGAAAGAAGTACAACTCAGCCGAGCCTCCCTTCTCAATGCATCGATGTTACGCCACTGATGGCCCGGCTACAAGTCGCGCAACTTAATCCCCGCCCCTGTACCCTTTCGTGCTGAAATTACTTCTAGTAAGGGAACATTAACTTTTGTTTTCAAAAGTGTGTATTACAAGCCCTTAATAAGCCGCTCAGGGTTCTAATAGCGATTATTTACAACGCTTACGAATCGTACATCTCTCACCTTCAAATCTTATCATAGCAATAATGCAGCTGGGTGTTGGTCACTTGTGCGCCGCGGTTCTGTTTACCTCGCATAACAGATTTAATCCTCACAAAAGTCATATATAATGGGTGTTATTGCCTACAGGTATATACCAGTGGCCGCTCGTCAGGGGAGGCCGGAAAGACCGGCCGGCCTCGGAAGAAACAGGTAAAAATAATTTTATTTGGCAATCAATATTTTGTAGAATTGCTTTCTAAAACTAAAATCATCAAAATAATCAATTATTAATGAATTAAATCAATTCCTACTCAAATATATGTCGTTGTAAACTGTCGCTACTTTGTTTACATTTAAAAGCAAAGTATATTTGTAGTAATGCACAACTTTATAAAAATAGGGATCGTCAGGATAGCCTCCTCAAGAAAAGTCATGAGTCGCCACTGGATATACTTAGCTAATGAGAAACCTCCTACATTACGGTTATATGAGTTTCATTATAAGTCCAGCAGTAGGTACAAGGATAGATAAAATGATCAACAGATCTGATTTTGTGAAAATTTGCTTATATATTTGTACAAAAATAAAGTTATTTCTCAACAAATTGTTTGATTTTTAACAAGCTATTTTTCCCAGACTCACCAGTTGATTGTTAAGGGCGTAGTGGAGAGTTAATCCGCCATTTTCCAGGCACCCGGTATACTTTTATTCGATCTTAAATAGTTTTTTTAGTATGAAAAATGTAGGGCCTGAATACATTAAAAAATAATCGAGAATTTAAATAATTAAATTAAATCTAGTTACCGAAAAATGAACCATAACAACGATTACGTGTGCCTTAATTATTTGTCAATCACGCAATATTATACTGAATACAAAGATGGGTGTTTCTAGGTGGAGGTAATTTTGAACAACTGCGATAGATGTTTCCTTCTTTCTTTCCTAATTTTTTTTTACTAAATTAAAAAAAAACCTTTAGGCATTCGTATTTTAAAAACAAATCTCTACAAAAATTTAAAAAACAAATCTGACTACTGTCTGTCAAAAACCAAACGTCATCTTTTTTAGTAGTTCACAATGAGGTTTTTTTTGAAACTATTTCATTTGAACCATCATTCTCTCGAATTCGGTAAAAAATAAATAACATTGAGCGTCAAAGGTTTGTTGTCCGGCACCCTGTATATAATATGCAAATTGTTCTGACCGCTGCGCGCAACTGACCCATTTCTGTAGATCTAAACGTGGTTAGGAACAGAAATTTGTACAAAAGTTCCAGATAAGATATATTTCTAAATACCGAATCTCTTAAAATTATGAATTTTCAAATGGTCGTTCGTTATGAAAAGTACTTCAGTTCTGTTAATGATACTATAAAAAAAGGTGGCGTCCCTTTCGCTTTGAAAATAAACAATCAAATAGTAAGTGAAGAATGCAAAAAAATTATACAAAACGTATCTCTTGTTTTACAATGGTAGCAGTGAGACACACGACGACGACGAGGATCTCGATTTTTAATTTGTTTTAATAAATTTTAGGTTAAACTGAGTTAATTTATTCTGTTTCGATTGGTCTAAACATGTCTTAAACAGAACACATTTTATAGACTATTACGTATCGTCAGGGTTCTAAATTACCATCACCACAATCCTCACCGGTTTATTGAGGGCTTTCAATATACACTTTTAGAAACAAAAAGTCAACGTTCACCAATTTCTGATCTCTACTATAATACCTAATATGTATACATATAGTATGGACGCCGCTGGGTATATGTAAATTGGAACAAGAACGAACCTTTTATTATAGCGCCCAGATAGCTAATCACCTCCATGGAAAATTCAAGTATGTATAGATAAGTTCAAGACCTCCTGGCCGCCGAATTTATGCTGCCCACAAGACCAAGCTTCGGTTCAGGCTACTGTCTATCCCGAAACAGTTGTCACATCTCATTAGCTGCTTATAGCGCGTACATCTCTCAGTATATTAATATTTTACATTTTATGTACAAACAACGCTTCTCAGGTGAAATATTTTATATTGAAATTTCAATACCCCAGCTTTGCTATAAGATGGTCTATGTTTTTACGACAGTGAGGCACCGGGTCCTGCCGAGCGCTTCTGCTAGGCTCGCCTCGCGCATCTCAGCGGCCACGAGATCTTGAACTATCTATACACCGTTGCACTTTGCGCGTTCACTCACTCCTGTCCGGCGTCTGATCATCTAATGTCATTGTTTCTCGAGTTTATGCTTTATTTCTTTTCTTATAGATTCTTATATTAAAAATAAAAGTGAATATGTAACAATATCGTATAGGTAATTAAATAGCAAGAGTGAATAAATCAATCAAAGATTTATCTTCCACTATGTCTTCCACAATATGGGTCCATAAAAAAATCAAAACGCAACCAACAATACAAAAAAAATACAGGAGCTCGTCAGGGTGACCCCTATACGGATACTATTCTCAGTAGTCGCAATTTTCTGCACGTACCATATATTAAAATCATATTAGTCTTGTTGTCGTTTGAACAACTTGTGCATCAATTTTGATGAAATGTCAAAGATGGTTTCGAAATTGTATTTCTGGTTGCGTCTTGAATTTTTTATACGCGGAGCTTCTCGTAAATAACCCTGTACATGTTTTTTATTCAAATATTTTAAACAGATATGCCTGGAACATTTCTTCGAAAATCTATATTTTATTGACATGCAAACATGAAGAAACAAAACGGAGGGTTTTTTTCTACCTACTCATGTTTTGTACTGCTTGGATGTTTACCGCCGCTTTCCTATTTAAATAAGTATTAATTATAATTATAACGAATAACATGTGGATTCATAAATTGATTACTATATTACCACAATTTCCCGTAAAATAACATAATTATTTAGTCCGAATCGCTCTTGACGCATCGGTTCGTTAGGTAATGTTTTATCCAATATTCGGAATGACTAGTTCCCAAATTGTGAAAAGTCTTAAGATTCAGTGTGAGAGTCCTTTAATATACCTCTTCACTACTATCGTTCCTATACCTGCATCTAATACCAGTGAACTACCCACGATTCAGTGGCGGCTCCTCAGAGGAGGCAGGGGAGGCTGAGCCTCCTCTATTTTTTGGAGCTGAGTTTCCTCTAATTTTTTTCGATGAAAGAATTTATATTTTTGTAGACATTTGTTATTTTTCAGAATATTTTCTTGGATTTCATTTACTTTCATCATATATCAGGTTAAAATGTCGGAAAAATTTATATTTGCGCCCTCACAATCATAATTCACATTCATACCACTCCGCGTTTGGTTTCAGCGGCAGAGGCTTGCTAGCCGCTAGCCTCCGAACGACGATGCATCTGAATAATGAGACCGTAACCTTGACGCACCGTCAGTGTGCATTGTATTGGCTAAAACGTTGATCGGACAGCCGCTCCAAGCCGCTAGCCTCCGGCTAGTTCATCTCTTTTCAGATCAAGTCGTGCAGATAACTTTATCTCTTTCTTATTAGTTGGAGCAATCGGGTGTAAGGAGGAAAAACATTGAGGTGGTTTCGCGAGCTCCCTGTTCAGTGGTGGTGGTGTTTAGGCTTTACGTAGGTAAGGGTATAAAAGGGAAGACCAACACCATCACTCCCATTAATGGTATTGACAGTTACAATTAGAAACAAAACAGAGCATTTCATGAAAATAATTATAATAAAACTAAATAGTTAACGGCTTCGGTTTTAAGAAACAAATTATACTGTTGGAATTGTGTATTATTTATAAGTGATAAACTGATAAATCTTCCGCTTGGGGTAAAACAGGCTATAATAATTTACAAAATTTGTCACGAGCTATAGAAAGGCATGAAAAATCACAGGAACACATATTTTCTTCGATTAAATTAGAAATGCTTGGTAAGCAAAACATTGCCAATAATTTAGATTCGGCTCATAAAATGGAGAACTGTTACGAGAAAGTTGATGAAAATTGGGCAATTTTGAAAAGACTAATCGATGCAATATAATTTATCTGTCAACGCAAGAGTGTTCTTTTCGTGGGCATGACGAAAAAAATTATTCAGATAATAAAAGATATAAAAAGTAGTGCTTTTCAAATTTGAGCCTCCTCTGAAGAAAACTTCACGAGCCGCCACTGCCACGATTCTATCTCACGCTCACCAAATACAAAATATTTTTACATATTCACTTTTTACTTAAAATATTAAATCTGGATTTCTATAGGTACACTCATTAATGTAATTACATATACTATAAAATGTACATTTCTGCCTTTACCTGCTTTTAAAAATTTCGTTTATGGAAAATCGCAAAACAATAATGCAATTCAAATCGCCCACATTAAACATGCAAAAAAATTAATTTACCATGTGGATTTAACTGTTTCACTGAAATGGTGCTAAAATCTAAAGAGTATAGGGACTCAATATTTCCAGAAAATGCTATTTCTAGAATAAATGTAGAGAAACTTGACACTCTGCCAGATATACTACTAATCATTCCCACTCATGTCTTTTGACCTTATGGGCATATGATACATTTAAAAAGAAATTAAACCTTAAGTAACTAATATATACAATTACATAATTTGTCAAGTTGTTACTGCTAATAATCCTACCCTGTGTTATATAGTAAGCTGTATCAATAGTATTTATAATACAAATTGAAATAAACTTACAGTTTCATTTCCTGCAGCAGTGACAAGTTCTTGTAAAGCACGTACTGACAATGCCTGTTCTATGACAAACACGCACTGTGACAAATCTGGGGGTATGTTCTGTACACAAAATAACATTAAATTATACATATGTATGCTCCATTTCACATTAGTGTGAAACTAGTTGCAAACTCTTGTTATTACCTTGTCTGCTATATTTTCTAAGAAGCAGTGTCGATTACCAAAACCTTCTGCAGCCAAACACACACGTTCTCCGGTTGCTGTGCAGGAAAGACATACCATATCTTCCTAATAGTTTAAGTAACAAAGAACATCAATATGAATACAACTAATATTATATTATAACCTAAGAATCTTACCGTTCGTAAGAATGATACATCATCCTGCTCGGAGCCCCCTTCGGCCTCAGCCATTATGGGGGTTTAAACTTTCCTAAAACCATAAAGTTATTCCATCAGATCTTAATTTCTTTTGCATAATAATATATATTTTAAAATACAAACTCTGCAGCAAAAAGTTCAGGCAACATGAGAAAATTACAGCCACGAAGTATCAAATGTCCCTGAGTTGATTGCGGGTTTTTTAGGTCTAATATCGATTTTGTTTTATTTACATGATACGAATCTACTTTGAAACTTTAATCCCAGAAGAATTTATACTTAATTTCAGTTTTACGCACTTTCGACGGCGCCACGTAATAAAAAAATCCGACCAAAACACTTGCCCTGTTGATGAATTTTTCTCAATTTCTTGTTTTTTAGAACTGTATATAAAATCTGTACTACACTAACAAAAATTATTAAAAATTTAAGTACTCACACAACGCAAATAAAAAATGCGACTATACAAACATTCCCAAATAAAAGTTAATTTTTGAGCCTAACATATCGAATTCAACGTAGGTTATTGTAAGGCAGACTGACACACTTCTTCAAAAATATTTTACGATTAATAAAGACAACTACCCACCTATTTTCCGATAATTGTTTTACATAAATGCGAGTCCACACACAGCAGTGAAATTTCGTTAAGTAGCACTGTGAAAATTTTCTATATTTAACTATAGCTGTGTTTAGAATATTTTTAGACTTGGAGCCAAAATAAATTTAGAAATTCATACCTGCTGTAATGACTACACTTTCACAATTGAAGAATGTATTATAAATTTTTAACGTGCATACTTTAAAAGTTTATACTAGGGTTGTTAAGCTCGTGGCTTAATGCGCATATTATGATTATCTCTTTACCTGTAGAAGATTAATTATTATTGAGGCACCATTTTTTTCAACAGAATAGTAGAAAATAACTCATTGCAGCTACTGTTGCACGTTTTTGCACACTGTATAACGGAAATAGTTGCTGAAAAATGTTACATTGTACTACTTTATTTCAAACTTAATATTAAATTAAGCCAACACAGCGTTAAACTTTACGTGGGTTCAGATTCTGGGAAAAGTAAATTAATATTATCTAGACAAATTTTTATACATTGCCTCTCCAATTAACGTTTAGGAAGCTATTATCTGAAATGGAAGTAGTTGGTACAAGGAAACTGCAGGTAAAATTGTAATCTAAAAAAGTAGCTATTGAAAGTAGACTATTTACAAACCCATAATACCATAAATCATATATTTTTAAACGACACGAGCGCGTTTAAAACGAACTATTTTAAGTTTTCTTTTATAATATGTGCATTTTAGATTTGTATATTACCCAAAAATAATATGTAAAAATTTGAATACATCTGATTGTTTGAAATATATATTTTTGCATAGGAACCAATATATATCTTTTGATACATTTTTAGACATAATAGACAATTAGCGAAATTACGTTCCGTAGAACGTATTATCCATTAACTAATACAGTCGCCAATAGGGACACTGCATTTTCTATGTTTCCATAGATATAACAGTTTTTTCTACGTTTTCCGTGTTGTACGTTCTACGGAACGTCGTTTCACTAATTGTCTAATTTTTATAGTACGTTACTATCTTTCTCTACTGTGAATACTTACACTTTTTTTGTACAATATGTTACACAAACGTTAACAAAAAATATCCATCATGCGACAATTACCCCCCTGAAGCTTATATATAAGCAGTTAGTATATACAACATGAAAAGCAAAACATCTTTCTTACATCTTTTACACCTGCATTTGATAATTGTAGGGTATAAAATTAAAATTATGTATGTGTGTACCACTTTTATTTACAAAAGACAGAAATGTTACAAAATGAAACTGTATACAAGACCAAGTCAGATAAAGACGCTGTATTTGTATAACATAATTACTTACATTAACAATTATTGTTCCTGCTAATACAACAAATAATATCTTTCAACAACGTGACCGCAAGTAATCAAAAATACATCATAATAAGTTGTATTTCAATTGATATAAAAAACGCATGTAGAACTTTTGGTCATTAAAATAAATACGATGAAACCATCGAACTTAATAAATAATTTTTGGTATATTCTCACATATTTAAGAATTTACACTATGTACAATATAACATCCATAATTACATAAGTAGTTGTATTTGAAATGATAATAATAAACACAGCCAAAACATGCTGTTGACTATACATGTTACTTTAATACAGAAATCTACAGACATTAGACCTAGTTTTGCAATATCATAATTTGTGAACCATCTACATCGACGAAGATAATACAAAACTAGTCTATAACTATAAATAGTAGCGTTTTTGTTTGATTTTCTTGTGATAATAATTTGCTGCAGATGCGTGAAAAAAGTCAATTGTACAAATTATATTTTGTGGGAAGTATTTCTTTGTTAAAACACAAACAGTGTTAATCTTTGCAAAAGCTTAAACATGTTTAAATATGAAAACATCTGCAATATTGTTTTATTACCATAAAAGCTGAAAACAATAAAATGCAGCTATTGTCTGAAGTAGAGCCATTAGAGGTTGCATGTAAGATTTACAGACCATTGTTAAGACTTTAAATTAATTAATACAAATTTATTTTCAAGATTGGGAATTTAACACAACATTAAAATATGTAGTCCTCAAAACCTATATCATCGTGATGATCCCTATATTTTATATCAAGTTCTTACGGAGAACTCACGTATTTAATAGAAATATCTATGTAAAATCGATTAACTCAAATAAAATTTCATTTAGTAAAAATGTATATGATTATAAATTATTACAACATGCAGCTATTGATTACAATTTTTCTGCTTTCATGGTAATCATGGAGGAGTTAATACTTTGTTAGTACGACAAAACATTAAGATCTTTAAAACATTCCATATACGTACGTTGGTGTTATTATGTGCCAAACACTATTTTTCTAGAATTGTTCATATTTGAAAACTTCTCAAAGAACGCCACAAAACCAATTCACCAATCTTAAAAGTGTGCCATGATTACGTCCTGCATTAACAAATAAAATAACTACCTGCATTCGTTTTAAAAACATTTTTATAACACATGTATGTATAACATAAATATGTACTAAGTTTGGAGCTCAGCATAATTTCTTTAAATAAAATTACGTAAGTTTACAAATATAGATTTTGATTTTCTTACAATATGTTAATTCATAAAAATAGAATGTATTTTATATAAATCTCCTAAACTCTGGTATCTAAAATACTTTAAACACCATGCACAGATCGTTATTTTCCTAGGTATCTAGAGAAATATGTTTGAGGTATGTCAAGTTAATAAATTCTTTTATTCTAAAACATCACGATTTCTGTATGTCATTTGTTTACTTAACCATAGTCTATTCTACCAATAAGTTAAGTTAAATATCTAAGCGAAGCAAAAATTTCAAGAATTGTGAGCTTTCTCCTAAAAATTTAAAACATTTTTATAAGTACACAATTTTCTGTGGAAAGTTTAAGCACGACTTACCATTTTTTTTATTAGTAACTGGCTTCATGTCCTGCTAGTATGTACAAATCATGACCTTCTTCATTTGTTAATGTTCCTGTACGTATCAAATTACTTTCAAGCATTACCACCCTGAAATTAATTCAAATGATGAGGAAACTGTCATAACGCATTAAAATTATGTGCATACTTATCAGCGCCCAAGAGCTTATATGTTCTTGACGTGTCTGTTATTTCTTGCGTAATTTCTCCATTTTTGAAAGATCTTCCTTGCATTCCATGTTTATGGAAAGCTAAAACACTGTCTGGAAGACTAACTAAAATATATTAACAGGTGTATTATTTAACGGGAACATTTTATTTCTACTTACTTATGTTTTCAATATTGAAATGAAACTTTAATTCTGCCAACTGTTTCTTACTAACTTTAAGCATTCCTTGCGGTGTAATAATTTTAATCATGTTATCGTAACAAACTAAAATAGAATCTTTATCTAATTGAGTAACATTGACTATGTTTAAGTTTTCTCGTTTCGGTATTACTGTAGCAGTTCCATCCATATCTTGAAGTTCATCAGAGTGAAACCAACTTGCACCTAAAATTAATAAACTAAGCTAAGAAATGAATTACAGTAAATGATTTCAGCCGAGTCAAAATGTGAATTGGTTTTCCATAACTACCATAGTTTTATGACAAGTCAATGACTTTTTTTTACCTGAATTCATATTTATGAGATCCAATTTGAATCTATTTGGTTGATACGCCTGTTTTATCGAAACACACACCATAGGATACTCTAACTCAGGAGTAATGATCATCTCAAATACATTTAATGGATTAGGAAGAACACATTCGACATGCTAAAATATTGACATATTAATCCTAATATATTTTTAAGAGATTACAAATACCTTCAACAGCATAAATTTGTTAAGTGGGTCATACCATTGCATGAGAAAAATACCAGTAGCTGAGGCACCACAGAGATATTTGTATCCATTATAAGGATTTCTAGCTACACAACATTTTTGTGTTCCTCTTGTGTCAGGTACTCGTGTAGTTAAAGCAAACTTTCTCGGAACAAGTCGCTCATGGATTCGATTCATATGTAAACTGAACCTGTGCGATTGTTTACTTAAAAGAGCTAACAAATCATGCCTATACAAATGTGGAGTTTTGCCTTAAAAATAAAATAAAAATCATGATAAGGTCGGTCGCCGGGACTTGTTTTTGCTAACCTGATAGTGACATGAGTACATCTTTGATTACATACATCCACACAGTTCGCCTGTTGTATAATTGATCAATGCACGTTTCGTGTAATTCGTTCAAGTTAAGATTATAAACGCCTTCTTCTGCGCCTATTAGCAGATGTTGATCTCTGGTTTCAGGATGAATCCAGGAAACTGTACAATGAATCCGCAGAGGACAGCCATTAAATACCTAAGATTATATATCCAAGTTAAAAACCGATTATTATTTTTATGGTCAAGTTTATACTGTGTATGTAAGAACAGACTTGGTAACTTATTTTTTATTTTCATTTATGACTCTTTCCTAACTTATTATCGACTGCGATTTTTGATAGTTTAACATATCAAACTATTTTATAATTTTGTGAAAAAAAAAGGTTTCATGTCAATTATTATTACTACTTTTTTAAAGCTGATTCTTTTTCAATTTTTAAAGAAGTATTGATTTGTGCTTTATAACAAAAAAATACTATGTCATTAGTCGATCTATACAAATTAATTCAACAAAATAATTTTTTTAAAATAGAGCTTTAAGAAAAATTTTGTAATTTACGTTTTTAGCTTATTGCAATATTTCTTTTAACTCTTTTTGATATTTAGAAAATCGATAAAACCTTACCCAAGAATAAACTAGCAACTGCCTATAACCTTTAATGAGTGTATAGAGACATAGTAATATCAGAAGGTGATTTGGTTAAAGAGACAATATTCTTGAGTTTTATATTTGAGATCCATATTATACAGAGTACTAAAGAATGCATAAATAAATAAGCGATTCAGTTATAAATATAGTACGATATATATAAAGAGTTTAAGTTTAAACTACACTCAATTTTGAAATGCAATAAGTAAAGTTTGGACTAACAAATTTTCCTGATTACCTCAAAAAAGAGAAAAACATCAGTTATATTGAAAAACTCCACCCGAGGAACGTATTGCCTATGTTTAATCAATCATGAATAAATATAACGTTACTAAAGTTATGCTAAATTCTCAAAATTTCAGTCAACTGATGCAAGCTTGATTTTTTTTGAAATTTTAAAATCTCCATCTAAATCTATTTAAAAATTTTCGGAAATTAATGGGTAGGGCTTTGAAATCTTTTTCTTATCAAGACAATTTTATTTTAGCGTTTTTCAACTTGTTGTCATCACCCAATAAACAAACACTAACACATTTCGTACCTAACGCTTCATTTTTACTATAATAAATAACTTTTACGCAGGTAAAGTCGTTTAAAATTTAATCAAAAGCAGTAAATTTTTGGACGTCCCAATCTACTTTCGGCGCTTCGTAATGAACATTCTGTTGCGTCGTATGTTCAAAAATATATTGTACATCAATCTCTGTTGCCTTTTGTAATTTTATAGCAATTAAAAAACTGAATCAAAAATATCGCTTTTTTTGAAGATAGTAAGTACATATTATTATTAAATCATACCTTTGAAAAGCAAGCACCCATGTGGACTTTGGGAGTAGGAGGTAACCCATTACTTGGTGGTCTAGGTGGAGTGTGTCTTCGTCGATGTTTCCTCGGAGGTACTGGAGGGCAAGCCACCAGATCAGGTGCGTTCGAATCATGATTATTTGTTTCAGTCTCAGTACCTAAATTTCACCATATGTAACAAATATATACCAATAAACAAAATTTACCATTCACACTTCGGTCAGTGCGACCACTATCACTAAGGGATCTTTGTCGTTGACCATTAATATTCATTGCATTAATTGGAGAAAATAATTCATCTACTGAGGAATGTCTTCTTGGTGAGCTATTCACTAAAGACTCGTTTGTAGGACTAGAAATGTGGTGAACATCACATTTTACATTAACATCCGAATCTTGCACTGGAAGCGTAGCCCTGGAAATAATATATAAAATAAAAACTGAAATCTAATGATCAATGTTGGCTGTTATATCGATTAGTTGGTGCTAAAACTGAAAATGAACAGGCAATACACTAAGCAAAGTTTCAAGCTTCAGCTCTGTGCATACTTACATACAGAACATATAAAAGCCCTAGAGAGAACATCGCTAGAATTACATTATACCTAAATATTGTTCGACTTCAGAAGCTAATAATTGTTTAGAATTTTACAACAACCAAAAACTTATAACGTATGATTTAAATAGCCATATAAATTACTGTTTAATAATTTGTTACAACACTGATAAAGATCAACTTTGCAATATTTTAAACGTAAATATTCTACATTCATAATTTTTAAAATACACTTAAAAAAAATCTTTATCAGTACACTTTAGTTACTGGAAAGTCATACAAGTATAAGAGTGGAAAATTAAGAAAACGTACGATACTTGTAAAGAAAAATTGTAAGACATCTTTAATTTTTTATAACTAGCAACTTACTGCTGAGTGTACGAATCCGATGGTTGAAACTTGTAGGCTCCCCTAAAATAAATAATTAAAAACAAATGACAACCACTAAAAAATGAACTAAATTAGTTAATTATGTTAAGGTCATCATCCCGTTCACCCATGTGCAGCAAATAAAAAAAAAGAAGCAATGATGTTAGTATAGTTTGCAAAATTAATAAAAATTACCTCATCATTAATTCTTCATCAATGTACTGCAAGAGACTCCTAGACAACATAGAATAAAATTAAATAAAAATTTTGAACACAGTGGTTGAAAGTTAAAAAAATAATAGTGGATTTTTGCATTTTTCGCTAGTGTAGCAGAAAATGCAAAAAATTGTTAGTATTTTTTAATTAAGAGTAATAACTAAATCAAAAATTACAATCCATGTAATCAACTTTTTAAGAGATTCATGCAAATTGTTAGAAACAGGCAAATTGCTAACAAAACTTATTAAGTGCTTTACTAAGATTATCATGTATTATCTATATTAAAGGATAGCCAAAATTATAAGTATAGAAAAGATGATTATTGAGCTTCATTACACAACAGCAGTGATTTTTCAATACGTTGAATATAAAAAATATATACATTTATAATACTGACTGTTTTACATAAACAGTATATTATAATAAATATTGAAACTGATAGATAAAAACTAATCAAGTACATTTTCCATCTTTTTTGTAGAGTCATTTACATTATCATCATAGTTATTAATAGTAAACAAAAGAACGATAAAATGATAAAATTTTGTGAAAGCATTTACCACGTCATTCTATTACAAACTTGTTATTCAACCTGCCCGCGCAATCTAAGTACATATGTACATCTATATTTTTATCACCCACTGAAAAATGAAAAACCAAAAAATTTTTGTTTTAATTCGATAATGCGTTATATACTTAGAATGAAAAATCCTACAAAATTTTTTTGATTACTACACAATTCTGTAAACATTTGTAGATAATGGATAAATATAACACGTAATATTTAATTTAAAGATTTCAAAAACTTTTCCATTGTTTACACATTAAAATATAAAATTAAATTAAAAATATCTCTTTAAAATATATTATAATTAGCTTATGTATTATACAGGATGGAAGTTACCCATGAAATAAATTCAATAATTTTAAATTTAAAAATGATTTACAAAAATGCTCCAAAATTAGCTTTCTTAATTTTCTTTTCAATACAGGTTTATATGCTTGTTAAGACTTTGAGTTTTAAACATTACTTTATAAACATTTTTTTCATAATTAAGTAATCATATATTATTGTAATTAAATGCCTTCCATTCGAATAGTATTATTTTTATTTTATATTTAAAAATTAAAAAAAAAACTAAACGGGGTTTTTTAAATTCTAAAATAATGTATTCGTTGATTTTAAGGAAATACAAATAAAATCAAAAGAAAAGTATGTTGTATTTTTTAATAGATATATTAAAATAATCCACCATCTATTAAAACAACTATAATGTCTATGTAGTATGTTTAAAAGTGTATTTCTCTTTTTATAAAAACTTCTGAAGAACGATTAAAAAGCGGTTTTTATTTAATGAATACATTCATTAATTTCTTTGGGACAACTGTAAAAACAATTTTAAAAAATACGGACCCATTAGTCAACCACAAACTAAGGATCATTTCAAACTTCAAATTTCAAGCGAAATTTACTTACATTTTAGATCAGATTTGCTTAGCAAAATTGTCGGAAGGGATGAAAATATTAAAACTCATTAATGATTTACTATGCCCACAATAAATTCAAAGCGGTTGTAAAATTTTGGACTAATCGTTTTTTTTTAATAGGGGTGGATTAATAAATCACAGATATGAAAGCATATTACTTTCCATAGTTACGTGTACGGAAGTGCGGGACCTACTTTTAATTCTAGGAGTTATGAAACGTTGAGAAAACATGTAATGAGCCATAGTCAAATCGACCCTATTTACAATACGGCCCAAACTTACGCTGTGGAAGTAAAAATATAGTTTTGAAAACATTAAATCAACTACGAATGAAGAGGAAATTGTCACTTTGCAATTTACAGAATTGTCTAGTTTTTTTTATGAATCATAAAAATGATGAAACCACACCTATTAATGAAGACACACAGCAAAATAAAATAAATATGCATGAAAACCAAACTTCACACTCCCTCACGTCTAACCTCAAAGACATGTTCAAAATTTGCGAACCAGTCATGACTCGCCGATTAGAGCTATAAAACAATACTTAAAAATAATTTCGTTTAAGCGGAAAATCTTTTGACCTCTTATTGTGAATATACATATAACTTAACATTATTTTATGGCCTATACTTACTTTTCTCGATTAAGTGAGTCAAAAGCTGTCCCTATACCACATTTCTTGTTTTGATGTTCCACACAGTTGTGAACTGTTGTAACGTTATTCATGATGTCTGTAACGTCCCACGATTGTTTATCACGTGACAAAGCATTGGTCGCCCCTAAAATTTATATTCTTTTTTCTTTTTAATCGCGAACTTAAAATCATTTACCAGTTCTCTGAAGAGTATTATTTGATTCATCAATATTTTCAATGTCACCAGATACATGTATTGCACTTTGTGGTTTCGGACGCGATGTAAGTCGTGACGCAATGCGTTGAGGAACATTTGGAATTGCCTGAAGTTAAATTAATAGTTAGGAAAATTTATATAAATTTTATCAAGTTGATGACAGTAAGCTAAGAATAAACAAATTAAGATCAACAGTAAAATGTTTTGAATAACTACATATACAAATGCTTATAAAAATTTACCCCTTCATCATCAGGTTCCTCCGTAAACATATGTGAAGGATTATTAACTTTCTGTAACAATTCTAAAGCCAGTCTTCTATGCATATCACCTTGAAAAAAAGCATGCTGTAAAAAACGTTAGTTACTAATTGTATAAAATGAGAACAATCCTATAACCTGAAGCAACTTCTCAGCAGTTGGTCTTTTTTTGGGATTTTTTGTCAAAGCAACTTTGACAAAGTTATGAAATGTTGGACTCCTTAAAATGAGATTTTAATACCAAAACCACATAAAGTAACTTTCTTTACCATTTTTCTTTATCTTTAAGAGTAGGAGGTTTAAAACCACTTTTTGACATTAAAAATAAAGCCCTCATTGGATGTAAGTCAAACATTGGAGGCTGAAGTTCTGCTAGTTCAATTGCAGTAATCCCTATTGCCCAAATGTCACATAGTTGATTATATCCACCTTTGCGTTCCACAGCTGCTACTTCCGGGGCCATCCAATATGGCGTTCCGATGAATGATTTACGTTTATTAATAGTGGCAGTAATCTGAGCTGAAACACCAAAATCTGCCAACTTCACATCACCACTTTCTGTGAGCAAAATGTTGGCACCCTTAATATCCCTATGCATTTTGCCCATATGGTGCAAGTAAGAAAGGCCTAATAAAGTTTCTCTGCACATATATGCAATTTGTTGTTCAAGCAAAGGACCAGTAACTATAAATTATAAATATTATTAAAATTTTGGCTTTATAAATGTTGATATTCACTTACTATGATATATATCTTGTAAAGAACCACCTCCACAATATTCCATACATATCCACAACTTATCTCTACGTAAATAACTACCATAATAAGCTATAATGTTGGGATGCCGACAGTCTCTCATCATAAGAATTTCCTGCTGTATAATTCCAAAGTCATCTCCTAAAAATGTTGCAATTAAAACTGTAAAGTGGCACTTAAACATAATATTGACCTGGCTCTAATTTTATTACTTTAATAGCAGCTAATTCATTTGTTGATAGCCGCTTCGCCTACAAAATGATATTTTGTTAGCGTATTTATTTTCTATAATATGTTGAATGATAGGTTCACTTACTTTGTAGACATCACCATAAGTTCCACTCCCTATCCTTTGAATTAGTTCGTACTCATCTTGAGGATTTCTCCTCGAAATGTCTGAACTTAAAACACCTTGGGCCATACTTTTCTATTCTCAGCGAATTACATTTTCACTGTATACGTTTACAATAAAACTAGCTGAATGTTTACGTGAATTTGACAGCTATGAGCCTTCAAGAACCGACATATTGGTTATTTCAAGGAAACAACATTTAGAAACAAAATTTACAATGTTTTTTGGTGTGGATTTTTCAATAAAACTCACTAAAACTCAATGTCACCATCGACGTAACTAGGTTTCAATTAAAAGAATTACAGCTGAAATTTGATGAACTGATTTAAAACTTGTACACCACTTTTAAAACGAAAATAAATATTTATACAAAAATCTTTTAAAACCTATAATGCAAAAGCAGATTCCCCGTGGTCTTACGGTTGGTAGTGCTGACAAATTTTTGGTGATGATAAGTTTGAGTGGTGGTCACAAGTGGTGGCTGTGACAAGACATAGGCGTCGAAACAAATAGGTTTAAAGGAATATCACAAAAGGATTTCTTTTTAATTTAGTTGTGGGTCTAGTTCTATAAAGATTGTCAAAATCAATGTTAAAAAAGTCTCGAAACATGATAATCGTTTATGTTGTTGGGAAATCTTGTTAAACAGAATTCAAAAGTGTACACTGCAATAGTATTTTTGGAATATGTAGTCGTTAAAGATTGCTTTAAGGCTTGGAGGTGGAATGAGAGGAGGGAAGATAATTTGAAAACATGACTGGTACCGCGCTCTATAATAGAGTCGTAAGTCACAATCATAAATAGCCATTGTTTCAGTGGCGTACTGTGATAAAACACAAGAATAATTCAATAATATATAGTCTTTGCCATTTCTATTGAAACACCACTTGTTAATCGTAAATTTGGCAATGTTCATATTCAGACAATTTTCTACTAAAAGCCGTTGTCAATCAACCGAAAGGTGTTATCAATTGCTAAATTTTAAGCAAAATCAACAGGTGGTGTTTCAATAGAAATGGCAAAGACAATAGAATATAAAAGCACTAGCAGTAAAATTTACTTGAGTTTTTATGTTGTAAGGATCCAATTCGAATTTTTAAATTTCAAACGAATTCCGCGCGCACAAGAAACGGTTGGTAAGAAGAAGAAGAGGTTGGCAACCAACCACACCAAGAAAGAGACATGCGCGAAAAGCGGGGGTGGTATTATCCTTTTTGAAATCATTCACTTCCTTTTGACCGCTTCTAAAACAAATTAAATGTCAGTGATTAATTGCAAGTATGACGTTAAATAGGTAGGACATGGACGTATGAGGTCCAATCTACGAATGGTACTTTTAACAAGGGTCATCCCCTATTACCCTAAGTTACAATAATAAAATTTGGGATGATTAGAATCTATACAAACGAATTAAAAGAATAATAAAAAAAAACTATTATAATATTAGGCAAAGAAGTTTCCGGACCTTAAAACAAGAGTAAAAATGAAAATACTAATTTAAGATTACTACGTGATTATTCATAAATTATGGCAAGTCTTAAAGTTTTATTAAAATACGCGGATCATCCGAAAACCTCCAAGAACCATCAAAATGCCGCGATTCACATCTAAAACAGGGGCCGCAGAGTGCAGTGACCGATTTCGTTATCTTCGTCATTTCATTAATGGCGTTTGCATTTAAGCGACAAAATAGTAACCAATCTCTCAGATAATTCCTCAGTTCTTAATTGATAAACGTTCGCCCTCTTGATGACAGTAATGGACCATTCGGAGGTTCGGGTTAATCACACATCAGTCGAGTATTATCGAAGAAGGCACAAAAGCAAGATAACACATGCATGACGGTTTAAATTTAGAATCTTTCACTTACAAAAAAACCATGGAACTTTTCTAAGTCTTCCTTCGCAATTTCGGGAAAGGAACTATCAGCTGGACAAGGCTTCAGCACGATTCTACTTGGGTATCGATCGTCGTGGGTACTTCTCGTCTTCGTGGCACACTGGATTCGACTTCCTCGACTTCCCGATTTTACGACCTTTTACACGGCGTTTTTCTCATTAATTATGTCTTTGGTGGCATCTTTATGAGCGCACGTGTTGCATCGTGGTATTCGTATTTGGGTTAGTTGATAAGAATGCAATCCTTTTGGGCTTTATTTAGAGGTTTAATAAGTCTTAGTTTCGTTGTTCCGAGAATTTCGTCAGACTGATAAGTCGCAAAATAGATTGATGGTAATGCGTGAGATTTGGTAGTTAATTTGGTGTGATTTATTTGGTGTTGGTTCCTCTGTGTTTTTAATTGAATGTCGTTAGTATCACGTGCCAACGTTGTGGATTCTTCTTTGTCTTGTTATCATGTTAACGTCACGTGCTGTCACCATCTTGGAACTTTTGCTTGGGTGTGGTATTTGGCTAGGGTTGACTGAGTGAGTGCTTCTCAATGGTGTGCGAATATAGGTTTGCAATTATCTGGTGGTTGGGTAATACATGCGCGATTGGACATGCGCAAATTGCTTGCTTTTTTGCGAATATGCGAATTTAGTTTTTGAGTTAGAGAATTATGTTCTGAAGTTTCTTATTGCGATATTTTGCGGTTTCTCCTCAAGAGTGGACCGTCACAGTTCAGGCAGCAGCCATTTTGAAGCGTCCATTTTGTTTCTTTTAACCGAGCACATGTTTTAACTGTTGAATCCATTGAACAAATTAACAACATTGTGGGTCATGGGGAGGACGTGCATTTTATTCCTTTTATTTAGCCCATCGTTTACACAACACCACAGGATTCATCACATATTTTCGACGCCTATTTTTTGGAATGACGCATTCGTCCAACGCCATCTTGTACCTGCAGATTGTCTGCCATGTTTTTGTTTATGTGTTTTGTTTGGGGAAATGTATGTATAATAATGGCCCACAATGTAGCTGAATAATTTCACGTTTTGAATGTTAACCAATAACTTGACTGGACACGAATTATTATTAATCTCATGTAAATTTGTTAACTCTGCAATGTTTCACCTCATGCAATTTTCCTTTATCTCACAATTTCAGCTTCAGTAATTTTCTTTGTTGTATAATTTGAATTGAACGCAGTTTTGACCTAACATGATATTTTATTTGCACAAGTTTATTTCACACCAGATCTTTGTTTTATAAATCTCTGCTAAGTTTTGATCTTATAAATGTTTTGTCGATGAATGTTTCTGTCATGTAAATTATCTGATGTCCAAATTTAATCTCAATTAAGAATTATTTGTTGTCTGAATTTCTGTAAGAGTGTATGGCGAATTTAAATGTTGTGTATTGCTCTTTGTTGAAACTTTAACACTTGTTCGGTTGTCATTTAATATTAGAGTCACAGAGATTGAACATTTAAATGGAATTGTAGGTAAATAACACATAACTCGTAGTGTACGTGGGGCGCGCGACTCCTTCTCAAACTGACGGGATTAATCGCGTCACCTGCACAAGTCCGCGGGTTTGTATAGCGTCAGGGGGCGATCGCGGGTTTTTAACGCTGTCGGCTTCTGTACATAGCCGGGACCCAACTACGGATCTGCGATCGTAACCGCCTCGTTTCGCAGGGCACGTTCGTAATGGAGATGTGCGTGTAAGCAGGCTTTGGTGTAGATAGAATCACCGTCGTGGGGGAGAACAGTGACGATCAGGAGTCCCAACCTCTACTCGCGCTACACACCCCCTCTGGATATTTTTCTGTGGTCGTAAATGAAATTGATATATTTTGTTATATATTTTGTTCGATCGCCACACTCTCATAATGATTCGGGTTCTGCCATCCATTTTACATATGTGTAGGTTTTGTGCTTGTTCGGTTTTCTATGTATATGTCTGTCAATTCGCGAGTGTTTTTCTTTCATATATCTTAAGGTGTTTGAAATGTAATATGTCGGTGAATAAAGAATAAAACCTCGGGGGGGGGGGGGGGGGGGGTTGAGGAATGAAGACCGATGACGCCTTGACCCTGCGAAGTCGCCCGAAGGGCAAGTTGAGTCCCTGTCGTTCTTCGTTTCTTTTTCCTCCTTAGGAAGGCTTTCGACCTACCTAATTTTGTATATTATTTCTTGCGCTCTCAACTCGCATGCAGTATATGCTCACTTGTATGAAAGGACGTCTTCCCGCCATTTTCAAAAACAAAAAAAAAAACACAACGTAGGTTTCTATTTGTTAGACGATCACAGCCAAGGCCAAACTTTGAATTTTTAAATTTTTCGCGGGCCTTTCAAACCTTTTCAAGGTCAATTTAAAGGCGGGAAGATTGGGTTATCACAGAATTTGTTGCCGCGTGACCAGGATACAATGTTTGCATACTGTGTTAGAGAAATGCATTGAATGTTGCATAAATACTCATGTGTTTTGATTTAGGACCAACTGAAGAAATGGCCGAAAGACGGGACCGAAGAAGCGATAACCGTGACGACCCCGACTTCCGGGTCACGGACGTGTGGACAGACCACACGCAAGCCACGACCTCCAATGGTAGCCGAAGAAGCCCTAGCAGGGAACGGGAGCGTTCCTTCGAAGAACGCTCGAGGAGCCCTAACCAGGAACGCGGCAGACGCCGAGAGCGACGCGAGAGGACCCCAGACGAACGACGCCACCGGTTCTACGAGCGGAGCCGATCCAGGTCCCGCGACAGGGGCTGGCGGCTATACGCTTTGGACCTGCAACGACAATTGGCGGCGGCATCTTTACCCCGCCCTTCCTTTTCAGGCACACGGAAAAGGACACTGGAGTTCCTGCGGGAATTCGAGGAGTACTGCGCCGAGGCGCACACGCCCTCCTCCAGCAAGCTGGGAGAGGTGTTGAAGTGCCTCAAGGGAGACGCGAGGACATGGGCGACGGCCAGTCGAGACAGCTGGAACACCTACGAGGACTTCCGCCACAACTTCGTGGAGTTGTATTGGCCCACACACCAACGCAGGGCCGTGGCTGAGGAGGTCCGGCGAGGACGCTTTGACCCCCCCCCCCAGACGGACTCATGCTGGACTATTTCATCAAGAAGTACGGGCTCTTGAAGTCGCTGATGTTACCAGACAGCGAGCTCCACACCCTAGACAACGTCATGAGGGTGTTCCCGGACGACGTCTGGAGCTCATGGTCAATTTAAAGGCGGGAAGATTGGGTTATCACGATGTTGTTAGAAATAGCTTAGTTTTTAGGTCATAATAATATAAATAATAAGATAT